CAGCATCTCAAGATATGTACTCTCTGGTTTTAGATAAGCTCAAAACTTCTTACTGTCAATATCTGTTCTGAATTGCAGTGCAGAGAAATTCTTGGGGCACACCACTTCTTCCATAGTGGAAAAAGGTCCATAGTGGACCTCACAAGATCTGATAGGTTTATCAGGGGTTTCCTCTTTTGCTTCTTCCTCATATTCTCTTGCCACTGCCATGTAAGAAGTGCCTTTAACCTCCTGTGATTCTGAGTCCTCCCCAGCCAAGTGGAACTGTAAGCCCACTTAAACCTCTTTTTTTCCCCCAGTTTCAGGTATGTCTTTATCAACAGCAAGGCTTCTGTTTTCTGATCTCAAAATTAATGATTTTATTAGTCAATACTGTATATGGTTTTTATATGGTGAAAATGAGATGAAACTAGTAAGGAAGAGTTCCAGGAATGCCGTAAGTGTTCAATAAACATTAACTATATTTAGTATTATCACTATAGGCAATGGAAAAGAATTATCTTTTCTGAAAATATTCATGTCCTAGCAGGCAAACTATTAGCTTGGCTCCATTTTTGTTTGAAGAGACACAGTAAAGTCTGATGTTGTATGGCAGGTGAAAAGAAATAATAAATGTTAAATTAAAATAGGAGTAAAAATTGAAAACATTAGCTCCACAGGACCTGAAAGCCCATCAAAGGCCGCAATGTTGGTAACACAGAGGCATTATATATTATTTGTTTTAGTATGTTAATTATTTTAGAGATAGAATAGATTATATGTAGATGTATAGATAATAAATACATACTTTATATGAAACAATTTTATCAACTTTCTAAACCAGAAGATTTTTCCAAGCTTAAAGGCAATGGGAAAAATAATAAAGAAAAATAATGAGAACCAAGTTTTTCCAATATTATACAAGTTTAAAACTTTTCTAAGTGTAAAAAAAAAGAAAAAATTTTTAAAAAGATGAACAAGCCTATTTTCCATGCAAGGAATACAAACAGACTCACAAAAATAAATTACAAAGGTCATCTTTAGTTAACAAATAATTCTACTCTTCAAAGAAAAATATCATGAAACAAATTATCAAAGACTATAGAGAGCTTATTGAGGAGGAAATAAAATTATTCACATTTTAAATTTTACCAGTAAAAAGTATTCTATTTTACTGGCCGTGAAAGAAATGTACATCAAAACTATAGTGGAAATAATATCCCTTTACCACTGTAAAATAAAAAGATCATTGTAAATATGATTATGTACTGCATGTGGGAATGGAATGAATACAACATCTATCTACATTTTTCCTGTCTAAGCAAACTGGCAAAACTTATTTAACAAACAATATGTCTCTCAAATCTTAAAGACCAAGTTTTTCTACTTCCAAAAATCTACCTTAGGCAGTAAGACTATGGAAGAAATGGTGTGCCCCAAGAATTTCTCTGCACTGCAATTCAGAACAGATATTGACAGTAAGAAGTTTTGAGAGATCCAAGATGGCTGATCACTAACAGCTTGGGATTGTAGCTCTCAGTGAAAGTGCAGAGAACGAGAGGACGCCACACTTTCAGATGAATTTTCGTCGCTCATGGACCAGAAGATTCCCAGTGGAGGAGCCCCACGGGTCACCAGCGTGACTCTTGTGGCCGGTGCAGCAGCTCTTCTCGCAGAGTAAACAGGACTGGTTCCCCTTCTGACCCATGTTTGGAGCTCTGGGAAGGCAGAGCCGCTTATTACGGACTCAAGAAGAAAGCCAGACCAGAGATTCCTGGGCAGAAGGGCACCATCAGTCTTATTGCTGCTGTTTTGGCCTGCGCAGTGGGTTGCTCAGATTCCAGCGCTGGGAATCAATGAACTGGACGTCCACTCAGAAACCTAATTAGAAAGGCGGTAATTGTAAAGACGACAGATGGATACATTTATAATGAAGGGAAGAAACCAGCCTAAAAAGGCTGAGAATACCCAACATCAGAACCCCTCTCCCTCTACAGGGGATTACAGTTCCTCATCAGCAACAGAACAAGCCCTGATGGAGAAGGACTGCGTTCCATCATCAGAAGTAGGCTTCAGAAGGTGGATGATAAGAAACTTCTGGGCATTAAAAGAACTTGTTCTAACCCAATGTAAAGAAACTAAGAACTTTAAAAAAAGATTTGACGAAATGCTAACAAGAATAGACAATATACAGAGGAATATAAATGAACTAACGGAGTTGAAAAACACAACACGAGAACTTAGAGAAATATGCACAAGATTGAATAGCCGAATTGATCAAGCAGAAGTAAGGATATCAGAGGTCGAAGACCAACTTAATGAAATAAAACGAGAAGACAAGAATAGAGGAAAAAAGGATAAAAAGGAATGTGCAAAGTCTCTAAGAAATGTGGGACTATGTGAAAAGACCTCATTTACATTTGATAGGTGTACCTGAATGTGACAGAGAGAATGAATCCAAGCTGGAAAATACTCTTCAGGATATTATTCAGGAAAACTTTCCCAATCTAGCAAAGCAGGACAATATTCAACCTCTGGTAATACAGAGAACACCAAAAAGATATTCCTCAAGAAGAGCAACCCCAAGGCACATAATCGTTAGATTCACCAGAGTTGAAATGAAGGAGAAAATACTAAGGGCAGCCAGAGAGAAAGGTCGGGTTACCCACAAAGGGATGCCTATTAGACTTACAGCAGATCTCTCAGCAGAAACCCTACAAGCCAGAAGAGAGTGGGGGCCAATATTCAACATCCTTAAAGAACAGAACTTTCAGCCCAGAATTTCATATCCAGTCAAACTAAGCTTCACAACTGAAGGAAAAGTAAAATCTTTTATAAGCGAGTACTCAGAGATTTTATTACCACCAGGCCTGCTTTACAAGAGCTTCTGAAAGAAGCATTATACATAGAAAGGAGCAACCACTATTAGCCTTTCTAAAAATATACCAAAAAGTAAAGAGCATCAACATAAAGAAGAATTTACATCAACGAATGGTTAAATAGCCAGTTAACATCAAATGGCAGTAACCCTAAATTTAAGTTGACTAAATCCCCCAATCAAAAGATACAGCTAAAACCTAACGGTATGCTACATCCAGACCCATTTCACATCCAAAGATACACAAAGACTCAAAACAAAGGGATGGAGAAAGACTTACCAACCAAATGGAGAACAAAAATAAATAAATAAAACAGGAGTTGCAATTCTTGCATCTGATAAAATAGATTTCAAAGCAACAAAGATATAGTGGTAAAAGGATCAATGCAACAATAAAAGCTAACGATCCTAACACCCAGAATCATAAGACCCATAAAGAGATTTAGACTCAATGAGACAGAAAATTAATAAGGACATCTAGGACTTGAACTCAGATCCAGAACAAGTAAACTTAATAAATATTTATAGAGCTCTCCATTTTCAGTACACAAAATATACATTCTCCACTTTAAATACACAAAATATTGATTGGCCATTATTAATACCCATTTTTATTCCCGTTCTCTCTCCCTCTTTTTCTTCCTCTCCTTCACTCCCTTTTTTTTCCTTCTCTCAAAAAAAAAAAAGTTTTGAGCTTATCTAAAACCAGAGAGTACATATCTTTTGAGATGCTGTCTATATCTCTTGTTTTTGTTTTAGAAAAATCACTTCCTACTTTGGAGGTTTGTTAATAAAACCTTTTATTTTATTCTTCTCATATCCACTATTTGTGTGATGATTATCATTCCACATAAAAAAAGAATATTCAGACAGTAATTTCTAAAAAGCTTTTTAAAACTTTATGAGCTTTGTATGAATTAACGTATTCAGAATTTATTAGTTAAATCAGAATTTTAGAATTTAGTAAAGTGAGGGAATGTTACCTTAAAAGGTGAAATGACCAGTTTGGAGATAGGTAACACACACTATTGATATTATTGAAATAATCTTCAAAAACCTTTTTTAAAACTTAAAAATTATTACATTCAAAGCTTTGCATACAAACACGTGACCCAGGAGTAACTGCACATAAGAATTTAATCACTTACTCCACCCTCCACACCTCTCTGCTTGTTTCGAAGCACTCCTAGACATCTGCCCTCTCCCCTGTGTTGAGAGCGCTGCCCCAGACTCTCTCTCTCTCTCTCTCTGCTTATCAGTTTGCTGCTGCAGACAGGGAAGGTTTTAATCCATAACCACAACTCTACTTCCTTCATCTGCTTGAAGATACGTGGATCCTCAAAGCTAAGGACCCAGAGGGGCTCTGAGATGATGAAGAGAGGAACAGGATTTAAGTTCGTTTCCTCTTTTTCATGCTACATGGAATGTGCCAAGAAATCTCCTTTATTCATGGTGGTTTAATTTTGTTTTATTTTTACTTAAAGGCACAATAAGAACTTACAAACTAACTTTTGAGACTACATATATTTTATAAGCAGAGGCTGTTCTATAATTGAAAAGGATATTCCTCTGCTTAGGTAAATTTTTTTTCATTAAATAAATGTTTTGGCAGTGGAAATTATATATTAGACTGAAATCATTTTTCAATATTTATTTGGGCAGTTATTTAGTTGCATATGACAAGGGTTTTAACATAAGGTAAATTTTCTCTGTCACGGTAGTGCTTCTTCTGCGCAAGCATAACACAGGGCTGATATGTTATCTGATGACACTCTACAGAGTTTAAAACATGGATTACAATGACCTCAAATGCTCAGTAGACTTTACAACTTACCTAAGGAGAACGACAACCCTCTGTCATATTAAATGGTAGTTCCTGGACATTGTTGTAGTTTTTTTAAAATTAAGAGCTTATTTAACATTATGTGCAATGTCCCCTCAATGCCTTTAAAGCCATATCTATCTAAGGTATAATTACACCAAAAGGGATGAGAAGGTTGGTTGTATGTTTGTTCATTTTTGCTATTTCAAAGTTGAAAATATAAGACCAATACATTTATTGTAACTGAAATAAGATGATTCTCTTGTATTCAAATTACAGTACGTATGCATGTCATAAACATGCATAATACATGGAACATACCTGTTGAGTCACTGATGCTGCCAATGTACCCCCGGAACTATCACCCGAGATACAGATTCGGGTGGAATCCACCCTATATTGTTCAAGAATTTTGTCCTGTAGAAAGAACTTGACCACAGAAAGAGCATCTTCAAGGGCAATGGGGAATTGATATTGAGGAGATAGTCTATAGCTTCAGAAAAACAGAAAGTAACAAAGCATTTTTGATTAAACTTAAGTTATAATTATTCAAATATCTATCAATTGAAGCAACAGATCTGTTTAATATATTGGCCCTACTTTGACTTTAATTTCACCAATTAAACCTGACTTACTACTAATTTTTGTTTTCAAATAAAAAGTAGATGCTGGTATAAGGGTTACAAAATTTTGGCTTTATAGGGAGATGAGAGGGAGAAGGATGTGTCTTCAGTCTCATAAAATTTTCAACAGAAGAGCAACCAGGAGGGAGGTATCCTGTAGTATTTATGAGATTCTCAATGTAGTTGGTGATTCAAGAACAAATTTTTACTTTAAACTGACAACTAGAATTTGTAAAAATTTTTATTTCTAAGGTATTACATAAATTTTAATAAATTATAATTTTATAAATTTATGAGGTACAAAGTGATGTTATGATTTATGAATATAACATAATATGAAATAATTAAATTGATCTAGGTGATATATCCATTACCTCAAATACTTAATATATTTTATGGTAAGAACATTTGATATTTATTCTCTTCGCATTTTTTAATATTATTAAATGTATTCACTGTATTGTACAATAGAACTAAAAAAGAATTCCTCTTTTTTTAAAAACGTATTTTGTACTCTTTTACCATCACTTCCTCATTGGTCCTAACCACTGGCCTCTGTAACGACCATTGTCTTCTCTGCTTCTGTGAATTCAAGGATTTTAGTTTCCACATATCAGTGAGAATCTGTGGTATTTGTATTTCTGTGCCTGGCTTATCTCATTTAGGAAAATGTTCTCCAACTCCATCCGTGTAGTCACAAATGACAGAATTTCCTCTTTATTGAGGCTGCATAGTATTCCATTGGTATATGTACCACATTTTCTTTATCCATTCATCTGTTGATGGACACTTAGGTTGACTTCATATCTTGGCTATTGGGAATAGTGCTGCAATGAACATGGGAGTGAGGACATGTCTTTGACACACTGATTTCAGATTTGTTGGGCAAATACCCAGAAGTAGGATTGCTGGATCATATAGTAATTCTAATTTTAGTTTTTTGAGGAAACTCCATAGACTTTTCCATAAAGGCTGTACTAATTTACATTTCCACGAATACTATACAAGGGTTTCCTTTTCTCAATATCAGTGCCAACGCTTGCTACCTTTCATCTTTTTTATAATAGGTGTGAGATGATATCTCACTGTGGTTTTAATTTGCACTTCCCTCATGATTAGCAATGTTGAGTATTTATTCATATATGTTGCCCATTTGTATGTCTTCTTTTGAAAAATGTCTATCAGATTTCTTGCCCATTTTTTAACTGATCTTTTTGTTTTCTTGCTATTAAGTTGTTTGAGCTCAAAATATAAATACTTTTTATGTTAGCCCCTAGTCAGATGTATGGCTTGCAAATGTTTTCTCTCAATCTACAGATTGTCTCTGTGGAGTGTTAACTATTTTTGCTTTCCAGAAGCTTTTAGTTTGGTGTAATCACCATTTGGTTACTTTTGTTTTTGTTGCCTATGCTTTCTGGGTCAACAATTTTCAGAACTATTGTTGGGAAGGCACAAAAAATTTTAACAGGAGAAAATCTGAAAGTCAATTATTTGTAGATATCTTGTATTAGAAATTTATTTAAGTCAAAATTCTACAAGGTAGCATGTCTCATTTCACATCATGAGCACTACCTGAAAACTTGATTAAAAATAAAAGCTTTTAAATGTAAATAATATTAAAGTATAGCAAAGAATCTTCCTTAATCATTGTAATTTATTTGTAAGGCAAATTGTTGCAGCACCTTTTAATAAGCCTATATATTTATATAATATGTAGGCTCAATATTTATATATAGGTTCATTAAATATATATATGATATAAAGATATATATAATCATATATATAGGCTTGTTAAAGATGTATAGGCTCATCAAGATATAGATATGTGTGTGTATATATATCTTCACCATATATATATATGTAAAACCAAATACAAATTACATACTTTACCTTTTAATATAGAGCATACCTCCTTCTAATATAGGAGTTATTGAATGGTACAATTTTATTTCTATCTGTAGTAGTAATCTTAATACCCATAATTTATAATTAGTCAATTATGCATATGTCAACACTAAACAATAAATGTTACCAAGATGGTCCTAGCAGTTTTGTCATACTATAATCTGTATCTAAAGTATCTAAAATACAGTATAATCTAAATAAGATAACATATCAAAAATGTGATTGTTATTTTAAACACGCTTCAGAGAAAAGAGCAACAAATATCATAAGTAATTGATAAAGTTATTGAACCAGATACTCTATATATCATCATTTAAAAAGTATACTTAAAATGATTAAGTGACATACTAGGTTAAACCTGTAGAGTAAAGGGGAGAATATCCTAATTAGTATAAGTTAGAAATAGCTCTGAAAGCATAAGGGATTTTTCTGGTTGCTCTAAAGCAGCAGTAATAAACAGGATGGCATTGGTTCAACTTGTTTGTTCTATTTGATCCTATTAATTTCTCACAAGAAATTATACTATGTTCTCTTTTCATAAGAAGGCTAAAAGTCTCTAAGTGTATTTCTGCCCTCTGAAATTGGCAGGAGAGATGGAAAAAGTTCTTCATCCTGAGGATGATGGTTTTAGAAGTATAGAGTACACCTGAATACATCAAAAAGTATTGGACATTTTGGACAATGATTAGTCTTTCTCACATGTTGTTAGAAATTTTGGCAAACAATTGTGAACTACTAAGATCTCTAATTTTGAGAATGACTTGAAATTACCATATGGTCCCAACATTTGTCACCTGATGTTCTTCCAACCCAAAATAATCTCTAAAATTCATCGTTTTATTACCAGCTGAAACAAAACCCAACATCTCAAATGTGTAAGGGGTAACTAGTGCCCTCTTTCTATGTTTATTATATTGGGATTAAGCTAGGTCTTTATAGGACCGTTATGTTCCCAGAGATTCTCACAGCTGTGTTGCCCAGGATGTTCACCCTGCAGTGCCTCTCAGCGTTCTCTACAAAGGAAAAGACTAAAGGAAAATTGGGTCCTTTTTAGTAGGGGTGGATATTTTAATATGAATAAAAGTTATTAATATAAACAAAAACTCCCTATAATTCAAGCCACTTTTGAGGCTTGAGTGACTGGTATTGGAAATCGGTCCTATGTCGTGAGTGCAAGGATCATGGGACTTTTTAAAAAATCTTACTCCACTCCCACAACAACAGCATCAAGTTTGTTTGCCGTCTGTCTGTTCAGCAAATCATAAGGCGAATTCTCTGAAATGAAAGAAATAAACATAAACGTGTACCCTGTAAATAAAAGACAATAAAAAACCACCAATACTCATGAAATATGATAGAAGTATAGATTGTACTTAATTGGTAGAATCCTTATAATCTCCATTTTTGTCACCATTTGGAAGAACCTGTCAGAGTAAGAAAAGCTTCCTAATCCTCCACATATTAAATCATTCCTCACCAAAAATAAAGAGAAGACATATGATTGGTGACAATGGAAGAAGAAACTTGGCATGCTCTGCTGACCCACTAGTTTTCTATGAGACCTCTCCTTCTAGGTCCACTGTGTTGCATGCTTCAAAGGGGGCATCATTCATTTAATAATAAATCTTTAAAGCAAAAATCTCATCAAGTGTGTTTATAATGTTATTTGCCACATGGTGTATGAAGAAATATGTATGAACCATGATTGATACAATCTATTATTTCTTTGCTAAAATACATATACATACTTACAAAAATTAATATATCAGCAAATGTTCTGCCAATTTTACATGTATACATGCCGTATATTTTAATATAAACATGTAATTTGCAACATACACACATAAAGTGCACTTACTGCAACTTCCCAAGACAAAGGCACCACCGTGAAGAAAAATTACAGCCGGTCTCTGCCTTTGTGACTTCCATTTTGGTAAATACAAACGTACTGGAATGTCACTAAAGGTTGTGTCAGTCACTGTAATGTTTTCATCTGAAATTGGTTCTGTCATGTCCAGATTCGTTAAAATGACAAATAATTCTTCATACCTCATAAGACCTATATTTTCAAATAACTTAGCCTGTCAAAACAAAACAAAATGGAAAACATTAAACATTTTACCCAAGGTCAAAATATAACTTAAGGCAGTACCAAAGCAATATCCAGGGATCCTTATAATAGACTTGTACTTTCTCTGAGACCAGACTCTCTTTCACTTATATATCCACAAACCTTCAGAAGCTTCGCTTTGTCAAAGCATTGAATCTAAAATCTTCTCCCCACTTTTCAAGACTCTCTTTAAACTGATATTTTTTTTACTTCCTTGTATTACACACTACTTTCTTTTTAAAAAATATATTTACTGAAGCTGGGTGAGGAGCTCCTGCCTATAATCCCAGCACTTTGGGAGGCCGAGGTGGGCAGATCACTTGAGGTCAGGAATTCAAGACCAGCCTGGCCAACATAGTGAAACCCCGTTCTCTACTGAAAAAAAAAACAAAAAACAAAATACTAGCCAGGCGTGGTGCTGCACAGCTGTAATCCCAGCTTCTTGGGAGGCTGAGGCAGGAGAATTGCTTGAACCTGGGAGGTAGAGTTTGCAGTGAGCTGAAATTATACCACTGCACTACAGCCTGGGTGACAGAGTGAGATTCAGCCTAAAAAATAATAATAAAATAAAGGTACTGTGTATAATTGAGGTTTACAACACAATGTTACGGGATACATATAAATAGTAAATTGTTACTAAAATAAATTAACATATGCATTATCTCACATAGTTTTGTGCAAGAACAGCTAAAATCTACTTATTTTTTTAATTCCTAACACAACACAAATTTTTCACTCTATTCCTCATGCTGCACATTAGATTTCTAGACTTACCCTACATACGATTAGTGATGTTGAGCACTTTTTAATGTAACTGTTGACCATTTTTATGTCTTTCTTGTAGAAATGTTTGTTCAGGTCTTTGTCTATTGTCAGGTTGTCTTTCTGCTTTAAGTTGTAAGAGTTCTTTATAAATTTTGGATAGTAACTCTTTGTTAGGTATATGGTTGCAATCATTTTTCTCAATCTACACATTGCCTGTTCATTTTGTTATTTAAAATTATTTTTAATTTTTAATTTTTTTTTCTGTAGAGAAGACTTTTAGTTGGATATAGTCCCATTTATTTATTTTTGCTTTTGTAGTCAGAGCTACAAAAACTGGGTGTAATGCCCAAAAAGTCATTGCCAGAGCCAATGGCTAGTGTCAAGGATCCTTTCCCCTATATTCTCCTCTAGAAGTTTCATGGTTTCAGTCTTCCATTTAGGTCTTTTATCTATTGTGAGTTTATTTTCGTATATGGTGTAAGATTAGGGCCCACTTTCAGTCTTTTGCACATGGAAATCCAGTTTTCCACACAGCCATTGCATTCTAACAAATATGTTTTGTTTTTCTAAAGACATTTACTTTTCTATTATGAGATTCTCATTTTAACCTGTTTTTCTTTTTTTTCATTTTTTTTATTGTACTTTAAGTTCTGGGATACATGTGAAGAACATGTGGGTTTGTTACACAGGGATACATGTGCCATGGTGGTTTGCTGCATCCATCACCCCATCATCTACATTAGGTATTTTTCCTAATGCTATCCCTCCCCTAGCCCCCCACCCCCTGAAAGGCCCCATTGTGTGATGTTCCCCTTCCTGTGTCCATGCTTTCTCATTGTTCAACTTTATAAATATTCTACTTGCTTGGATGGTTTGTTTTAGAAATAGGAAAATTTTACATTATCTTTTTGAGGTCAAAATTTTGAAGACACATCCAAACATCAGTGTCAAAATATAAAATAATTGATTTTTATTCAAGTAACATGGATTCCAGACTCCCCAATCTCTTAGCCTCTCTTCACCCTAATCTCATTTTTGAGGTCCTCATAAGAGATGTACTTGTTTCTCTATGTGAGGAGGTGAGGTTTATCAAATACTTGAGAATTTAAACATTGAAGGGAAAAACTTTAATGTTTTGCCAAAAGAGACCTCCACCAAAATGCCTGCAATAAATATCACATATCCATTATCTAGAAAGTTTTTCAGATAATTCTGTTGTAGTTTGATGAGATATTAGTCTAGGAAAATGGCAGAGGAAATGAAGACACAGTGAGAAGATACGTTTTGTAGGGAAAATTTATCTTGCAGGATACATTTGGGAAATTAGAGAGATGTAAATCATTTACATTTTCTTAGATACTATAGCAAAATTGAAAGGAAGTCACAGAGCTTTCTGTGAAATTGAAAGGAAGTCATATGCACCCTACCCCCACACATACTTGGCCTCCCCCATTATTAATATCCCCCACTAGAGTGATATACTTTACAATTCATCAAGCTACATTGACATGTCAGAATTACCCAAGTTCACAGTTTGAATTAGGGTTCATTCTTGATGTAGAAATTGTATGAGTTTGGGCAAATGTGTAATGATATGTGCCACCATTATATGTTCATAAAGAGTATTTTCACTGCTGTAAAAGTTCTCACTGTTCCACTTATTCATCCCTCCTCCCCTATACCCAGTCACTGGCAACCACTGATCTTTTACCATCTCCATACTTTTGCCTTTTCCAGAATGTCACATAGTTGATATACTACAGTATGCAGGCTTCTCATATTGACTTCTTTCACTTACTAATATACATTTAAGATTCCTCCATGTCTTTTCCTGATTTGGTAGCTCATTTCATTTTAGCACTGAAAAATATTCCATTGTCTGGATCTACCGTAATTTGTTTATTCATTCACCTACGAAAGAATATCTTGGTTGCTTCCAAGTTGGGGTAATTATGAATAAAGCTGCTCTAAACATCTATTTGTAGGTTTTTGTGTTGAAATAAGCTTTCAACTCCTTTAGGTAAATACCAAGAAGCATGACTGCAGGGCTATATAGTAAGAATATGTTTAGATTTGTAAGAAACTGCCAAAGTAGCTGTACCATTTTAAATTCCCACAATACAATGAGTGAGAGTGCCTACTGTTACACATCTTCACCAGCGTGTGGTGTTGCCAGTGTTCTGCAATTTTTTTTTGTACAGTAATATTCATTGTTGCTTTCATTGGCATTTCCCTGATGACAGATGAGTGGAGTATTAGTGCCTATGCTTATTTGCCAACTGTATAACTTCTTTGTTAAGGTGTCTGTTAAGATCTTTAACCCATATTTTAATAAGATTGTTTCTTTTCTTATTTTTCCTTTTTTTTTTTTTAATTTTTATAGAGATGGAGTCTTGCTATGTTTCCCAGGCAGGCTGGTCTTGAATTTTGGGGCTCAAGTGATCCTCCCACCTTGGCATCCCACGGTGTTGAGATTACAGCCATGAGCCACTGTACCTGGTCAGATTGTTTGTTTTCTTATTGTTGAGTTTTAAATGTTTTTTGTGTTTTTTGATAAGTCTGTTATCAAATATACCTTTTGCAAAGATTTCCTCAGTCTGTGGCCTGTTTTCTAATTTCCTTAACATTATCTTCCACAAAGTAGCAGTGTCTAATTTTAATGAAGTCCAACATATCAATTATTTCTTTCATGGATCATATCTTGGTGTTGTAGGTAAAAAAAAATCACTTCCATATGCAAGGTCTTGTCGGTATTTCATTTGACTTTTTAATAACCCATCTGTTGATTTTTAACCTGCTCTCAAGAGTACCACCACACATCCACTTTTTACTTATTTTACTTCCATTTGCATTTCCTTTAACTATCGTTATACCTATTATCTGTTAATAGTAGGATAAGTTAGGAGATGAAATGAGTGGTTATACTCAACATGATGGCAAAAAATTAAAAGAGACATTTTCTTCTCCTTTCACTTGATTTTATTTACCAAAAATAAATAAATAACCTTGAATGTAAGTCCCATATATTATTTTACTGTTTTCCCAGCAACCGTAAGCTCTGAATCAATTTGTCCCAAATCAAGTTATTAGATAATCAACTTACCAAGAATCATTTGCCAGAGAAAATATTCATGGAATAAAAATATTCAAATTTACCATAAAGTAGTGTTATGCTGTAGTTTTCTTGAATATCTCTTTTTTTTCTTGAGACAGGGTGTCACTCTGTTGCTTAGACTGGAATGCAGTGGCATGGTCTCAGCTCATAGCAACCTCCACCTCCCAGGCTCAAACAATTCTCCTGTCTCAAGAGACCTGGGACCTGAGTATCCTCCCAAGTACCTGAGATTACAGATATATACCACTACTGCCTGGCTAACTTTTGTATTTTTAGTGGAGACAAGGTTTCATCATGTTGGTCAGGCCAGTCTTGAACTCTTGACCTCAAATGATTCACCCACCTTGGCTTCCCAAAATGCTGGGATTACAGGTGTGAGCCACTGTGCCTGGCCTTCTTGACTATCTTTAACAAACAAAAACATAATCTCATGCAAATATATTTATAAACTTCATTATTCCTTTTTTTTTTTTTTTTTTGAGATGGAGTTTTGCTGTTGTTACCCAGACTAGAGTGCAATGGCACGATCTCGGCTCACTGCAACCTCTGCCTTCTGGGTTCAAGCAATTCTCCTGCCTCAGCCTCCTGAGTAGCTGGAACTACAGTCGTGCACCACCATGCCCAGCTAATTTTTGTATTTTTGGTAAAGACGGGGTTTCACCTTGTTGACCAGGATGGTCTCAATCTCTTGACCTTGTGATCCACCCGCCTTGGCCTCCCAAAGTGCTGGGATTATAGGTGTGAGCCACCATGTCTGGCCTCAATATTTCTTATGAATTTATTTTTATCAGAGTCTTGAAGAATATACTCATTATAGATACGTTTATTAATTATTGACTCTTAATAGGGTTATTACAATTAATGGTTCTGGTGGCTTTCAGTTCAGACAAGACGGAGTAAGCTCATCAAAGACAACCTTTTAACTGATTACAACTAAAAACTCTGCACACTATATAAAAGACACTACTTGGCTACTTTGAAAAGTAATCAAAAGGAGATGTGTGGGAAGTCAAAACTTGAATATAAGAGAGGGTGAGTTTCACATTTTTTTCTTTTGTCTTCTGGCTTTGGCCTGAGATCAAACTAAGCCC